AAAAAAAAAGAAGCAACAAATATATATATAACATAACAGAATAAAAATTATGAAAAACAAGACCAATATTTTTGATGTTTTTCTTTGACAAAATCAATTTTTTGACGAACATCAGTATTTATATTTGTATGGTTAGTTTTCCATTCATCATTATTGATTACAGATAATTTACCAATAAGTATAGAAAGGACAGTTTGAACATAAGATGATTTTGAAGATATATTAGATAAATCTCCATCAAGTGCAACAACAAGTTTACTATTATTAATTGTATTTAATTTTTCAATAATCCATGCATAACATGATGTTGTTAATTGTTGTATTTGAAAATCGACACAAACAATAATTAATTCAGGTTTAAATTCATCTATAACTGGTAGAATAAGTTCATTGATTATAGTTATATAATCTTTATCATTAATTTTATCTATGGATGCTAATGGAATATTCATTGTATATCCAAGCCCTTGATTTTTACCACAATCATGATAACTTGAACGATGTTGATGATTTTCTTTATGTATTGATATATAAAAAACTTGATTTGATTTATAATATATTGATTGTAATCCACAACCATGTTCACATGTCATATCAAGTATAAGTACACGTTCAATTTGACTTTTATTATTATTTTTATCAGTATTTATTGATATTTGAGAATTTCTTTGATTAATTATTGCTGGTGTTGTTGTTGCTGATGGAGTTAATACATGTATCATATGACAAATAGCATCTTCAATAGGTGTTGCACCTTCCATATGTATATGATTATTTGAATCAATTAATGCTAATGAACTTTTTCGTGTATTTGATTCAATTTTATCAATAAGAATTGAATTTATAGCTAAAGCTATATTATTATATATCGATGTATCATTTCCATGATCATTCGATGCACGATGACCAGGTGATGTTGATAGTATAAAACCATTTATATGATCATTAAGAACATTTTGTATAACATCAATAGTTATTCCAGCACTACAACGTGCATCCGAAAATGTTTTTTCATTATATTGTATAGAAAATTGATTAGATGATATATCTACATGAGTTTTTTCTGCTGATACAATCATATTAACATAATTACTTGAATGTAAACATACAAGTTCATCAATAGATGCTGACCGAACTTTTATTGTATAACAATATGATAAAAGATCAGTATTTTGTAGATCATTTAATAAGAAATTATCTTGTATAGCAATTATTGTCGATGGATTTTGATTAGGTTTATTTGTAACTAAATTATTTAGTATATTTTCTTGAGGAGAAGAATATTCATTTTTATTATCTGATAATAAACCAAATTTTATTGATTCAATATGGTTTATTAAAGGATTAAGACGAATATTTTTTATATAAGATTTACATGAATAACACCAAACTGATAAATCAGCAAGACTTATTGTTAAACAATGACCTATGTTATATTTTTCATCTGTAAGTAATGTAAATATCCAATGTCCTTCACCATGATTATTTATATAACGACTACAATGCATTTCACCACATGATACACATAACCAATTTTCCGTTTTACTATCACAATCAATACATTCAGCATTTTTTATATCAATTAATCCATCAAATAATTGTATATATTGAACATGTTCACAAGTTTGTTTAAGTATAACAATACCACCTTGATCTGTGTCAGATGTCAATTCATCATCATCATCATCAAAAGACTTATTCAAAGCTGCTTCGAAGTTCATCTATAATATATCAAAAAAGAAAGAAAGAAAGAAACAATAAATAAAAACCTAATCGATAGCACATTATTACGCTTAACTGATCTAATAATAATGCATTAGAGCTACAATAGTCAACCAATAAAAAGGCTATATAAGAGAAAAAAAAAGAAGAATTATATATCACGCTATTCACATAAATTCCTTTGATATTTTAGTTCTCGCTAACACCATTTACGGAATGAAGTAATCGAAAGTCGATGCATTTATAAATTATAGAAAAGCAAACTCTTGGGAAAGAAGCCTCATTCTGATTATTTGAATGAATTTATTTTGTCATCATTATGATGAATGGAATAATAATTCAGTATTAAATAGAAATAATACATTATCTAAGGTTCATAGAGTGGAATAAAATGATAGAAGATATATAAGAATAAACCAACAAAAAGGATTGATAACCTAAACTATGTGTGATTGATGATGCGTGATCAACTTATTTATCGAAGGTTAACATTTTTCTATTTTTTTTTTGTGCCTTATCTTTACATTGACGTGCGTATTAGATACGTAATATATAATAGAACATAAAAAAAAAGAAAAAAAGAAAGAAAAACAAATATGTTACATGCATTAAGATGATGTTAATTGAAGATATATTACATTCTTGTATAATACATACACGGTTTATTGTCTCTTGTTTTATAAATTCTCAAGAAAAACATAATAACTAACTGAAAATAACACAAGTATCGATTATATTTCTACAGCAGATAGGTTATTTGTTTTTCTCTTCATCATTTGAGTGTTGACAGTATTTTAACGTGAAAAATTACTTTTAATTGTAGAAGATCTGTAATTAAAAATACTTTTCGTGATCAAATTAAAGAATACAAAAATAAATCTATATGATATTAATGCATCTAGACATATCAACGCAGTATTCTATGTTTACAGAACTGATTCATCGATTATATCTGGTTTTTATCACTACAAATATTTCATATAGATATATTTCATCGAATATATGAAATATTCTATATAGCATTACTTGTATGAATGTATTGATGGACAAGTAGGGGTAGACATGTAATCGTTTTTTCGGATGTTTTACATATCGTTTGTCCTACAAGGACATTTATCTTTATATGTTTGTGATAAATAAACTTTTGTTACTTTGTGATTTTATTTTTTGTCTTTGAAATGTAATATAAAACAAACAACATAAATAGATGGCAGTTGTTTACCAGAGAATATAGTCTTAGAAAAAATCAAAGCCGGAATATTGATTAATATATATATTCTATTGAGTAATAAATTAATTTATTTAATAAATTTTTATTTATTTGAAAACTAATTTTTTTTGATTTTATAATTTTCTGACGAATCATTATTGTTATTACACTATGCTGTTGAAATATCATTTCAATAAAAAGAAGAAAATTTCTTCTTTTTTTAATGTAAAAAAATATGTCAATAGTAGAATTAATTCCATTAAATAAAGGCAATCATCTTATTCTTGATAATACGAAAATAATAACAATCGGTCGTACACCAAATATTGGTTGTTTAGATAATAAAATATCTCGTAATCATGCACAATTATTTATTAAAAATGATGGAACTATATGGATAAAACCTATACATCAGAATCCAATATTTTATAAAACAAAAACGAATCAAATAGTTACATTAACTAAAGATAAAGAATATCAACTATATAATAATGATCAATTTGGTCTTTTACCGGATGAATATTTTTATCGAGTTTCAATTAAATTAAATAATGCAGAAATAAATCAAACAGAAAATAAGATTGATGTATCTTCAACTAATATATCAACAAGTTCCGTGTCAGACACTCCATTATTAACATCAGATAATGACAAAGAGTTAAACGAGGAAGGAAAAACTATCAACACTCCATTAGTCCAAGAACAAGCATGTAAATATCAAGATACTGAGAAGAAAGAACCTAAAGCCGATGAGTCTATTATTTCTTCGACAGGTTAGAATTTCTTTTTTCCTTATTGATTCAATAAAATCAATTTGTTTTGTATAACAGCACAAACTAATACATCTGATAATCAAACAGCATCGTCATCATCGACAGTTGTTGAATCTAAGAAACGAGAACAATGTCCGTATGGAGAATCTTGTTTTAGAAAAAATTTAATTCATCGACAAGAAGTTAGTCATCCCGATGATCCAGATTGGGAAAGTAAGGAAAATGATAAGAATATAACAAAACCTGATTGTCCATATGGTAACGAATGTTATCGAACAAATGTTGATCACCTCAATGAATATCGTCATCCGAAAAAAAGATGCATTGAAATTAATACGAAATCACGTACAACAAAACGTAAAGGTAAACTATTTCTTCATGTACACATATGTATATAATATTAATTTTGCAGCAAGTGAAGATAAAGATGACGACGATGGTCTACCAAATGAATATGATTATAATGATAGTTTTATTGATGATGAGGATACTGATACTACGAATGACGAAAAAGGTATATATTTTATAATGATAAAGAGAATCAAATTTTTTTATTATAGAAAGTATTGAATCCGATGGTGACATTGAATGGAAACCAGAGAAAGATTCTCGTAATTTCGATGAAACAGATGATTATTCTTCGGATGAAAGTGATAGAGAATTAAGGAAAAAAGAAGCAACTGAATATATTCAAGGTTCAGCTTCTAATCATCATAGTTCGAAAAATAAAAAACCTCGTTTAGATGACGAAACTGACGAAGATGATAGCTAATTGTTTAATTATTTTTAAATTAGCGAAAATAGTTATAAATATATGAATCACATTGATTTCATAAATAAATAAACTTATCAATTGTTTAATGCATTCTTCATTCTCTTATGATAATTTATAAATAATAATCATGAAGAATCTTTTCTTTTCTTCTTATGAATCATAAAATATGTTAAACAAAATGTTTTCAATACATCTGCTATATTGCCATACTTTTCTTTTGCTTCTTTATTCATTCTTTTTTACATGTTGTCGACATGAAGTTTTTATTTTGTTTAGTCTGTATAGTGTATACATACTTTCTTTCTATTGAAAATAAAGAAAAATTTTTCCTAAATGGTTAGTCGATTTTTCTCATGTGTATCATCTACAGTATGGTTTCTTACTATTGCCATTCTCACTATAACTGGTTTAACAGCAATTGTGATCGGATTAGTTGGTCTTGGTCTTTATATTCCAACATCTATGAATTATTATGAATATACAAAAAGTACATGTTCTGTAATTAGCCATAAATATGAAGATTGTCAACATGGAAATACTATTTCTTTGGATACATGTTTTTCAGTTATGTGGTCTGTTGAATATATTCTACAAAATTCTATTCCCGATCGTTATATATTTTCTACAATTACAGAAATCTATATAGATTCAACAGCAGCATTAGAAGAACTAAGAAATTATCCAGTTTATACAAATCATACATGTTATTATCGTACTACCGATACTGCTAATGTACAATGGCAAGAACCATTATCACGAATACCCTATCTTATTATGTTGGTTGTTGGATTTTCTTTAACAGGTGTATATTGTATTGTTATTGGTATTATTGTTTTATGTCGACGTCGAAAACAATAATATTAAAGATAATATGTGCAAATAATAATTCCTATTTTGAATTAATAGCAATTAATCAAAGAATTTTGTATTTAAAATAAAAGTTAGTTATTGATTGATTGTCACTATCATTGTTATTGAAATGTTCTATGTGCTAATTTTTCCTTTGTCGATTTTCAAATGAATTACATTCACTTGTCTTATAGATAGATGATGTTCATAATTTTCATTCAAATAACTTGTATCAAAGATTCTATTGGTACAAGGTGACCTCTATTGATACAAATAGTGTATTGGTTTTTAGAATCAATATTGTGAATCATTATAATTACCACCGTATTGTCCTCTGTTTTCGATTGAATATAGTTCACGGAATTTACTATCTATTATCATTTCTCAAATTAGGTCTCATTAATAAAAAGGATTTAAAATGTCATTATTCGGTGGAGCTGCATCGCAAGCACGTAGTCGCAATTTAGTTGAATTTAAAGCAGGAAAAATGAACTTACGCGGTACAATGGTCTGTTCAATAAAAATTTCTTTGTTTATTTTTAATAATTAATTTTCTTGTATACTAGGTTCATCCGGATAAACGTAAAGGTCTTGTTTATTTATATCAAGGCAATGATATGTTAATGCATTTCTGTTGGAAAGAACGATCAAGTAGTACAGCTGAAGATGATCTTGTCATATTTCCAGATGAAATTGAATTTAAAAAAGTTACACAAAATACAACAGGTAAATAAATATATAGAAGTATAATTTATTTTGATTTTATTTATGTTTTGTCTAGGACGTGTTTATATTCTTAAATGGCGAAGTAATGCTCGAAAATTATTCTTTTGGATGCAAGAACCAAAAGAAGATAAAGATGAAGAATGGTGTAAAAAAATTAATGATCTTGTAAAAAAAAGAAATTTTTTTTTAAAATACTAATGAATTCGAAAAATATTTTTTTGTTACTTAGTTAAATTCACCACCAACACCTGGATTTGGTGATGATAGTAGTGGAGCTGGTGGATTAGGTGGTGGCGCTCATCCATTACAATCACTTATGGATCGAATGACAGGTGGTAGTGGCGCAGGTGGTATTGATCCAAATGATTTATCGAATGTTCTTCGTGGTAAAAAAAATAATTCTTTTTCTGTCCCTATATAAAAATGTATGCTTGCTTATTAAGGAATGAATCCAAACGATTTGGCTTCGTTGTTATCATCGGTTGGAAGTGGTGGTGGTGCTCCAGGTTTGATGCAAGGTAGTCAGCGTGGTAGGGTATTACCTGGTTCATCAACTCAACCCTCAACATCTCTTCTAGATGCATTTGCTCAGCAAACACCCGATTCTCGACCGAATACAGCACCAGCTGGAACTCGTGCTACTGGAACAGCAGCACCAACAGCTACAGCTAGTGCTGGAACGACATCGGCTTCAAGTACTCGTCCAAGTGGTTCATCATCATCATCTTCGTCATCGAAACCTCGTAATGGTGGAACAAGTTCATCACCATCAACAGTTGTTCCAACAAGTGGAACTAGTTCAGGAGCAGCGGGTGGACCAAAAGGTGGTCCCATACAAATGAGTGCACTTTCGAATATTCTAGCTAATTTAAGTAGTGGTACTACAACACAAGGAGCTGGTGGCGCAGGTTCAGACAAACCTGCTATTGACCTTTATGACATAATGTCGAGTGAAGTAAATTTATTGCTTTTAAAACAAAATTTCAATGATATAAATGATTTTATTCTCTTTTTCTTTTTATCTTTCTTCATATAGCATTTAATCCCAATATTAAGTAATAAAGAAGTTCAAGAAACTTTACGAGCTCATTTACCAGATGGCAATGTAGTATCAGGTTCAGAAAAAGAATTAAGAGAATCAGTACAATCACCACAATTTCGACAAGCTGTTAGTACATTTAGGTTTGTTTAAAAAAAAAATTTTATTTTATTTTCAACTAAATTATTTCTTTTAAAATTATTTAGTGTTGCTTTACAAACAGGCCAATTAGGTCCAGTTTTGGCTCAATTTGGTTTACCAGAAGAGGCTATAACAGCTGCAAATGAAGGTGATATGCAAGCATTTGCGCAAGCAATGGAAAAACATTATAAAAAATCTAATGAAGAAACTGATGAGAAAAAATCTTCGGATAATACAATGGATACAAACTAATTGGATTATACAAGAAACATCTTTTATCATTTTTTCTTTGCTTGATTTCTTTTTTTCATTTGGATTTAAAAAAAACAAAAGAAAACAAAAATACCTTTGATTATGTTTCAAGTCTTTTTTATCTAGAATTTTATAGTTGCAAAAAAAAAGTGCGTTGATGGTCTAATGCTTATCTTGTTGCATAAAACATGATTCATCGAGCTTTATAACGACGACTTGAAATGAGACAGCAAAAAAAAAGATAAGAATTGGTCTTCGACAGAGTCGACTTCTCTATTTTCTTTTTTACTTTAATGTTAAAAGGTGACTCAAGTATATATCACCACTGTGTAGGCATTGATAATAATATTTGAATAAAGTAAGTATTACACACATGTGCTTAGGCTCTCGTCTTATAATTTATAGCCGATATGTATATATGCACTTGATTTTACATCAATCAATATGAATGATTATTGGTAGTCTTATTTTGAAAAATATGTGCATATATATATACTGATATTTGGCCGCTGATGAGTAGATAAAGTAGAAAATGATTGTTACGATTCTTTTTTTTTATCAGTTAAAATTTCTGATTTAAGCGTAATTCTGCAGTTAGAAGGTTCCAGTTTTATAATATGACGCAAGATAAAACGAAAAGGAGAAAACAGATCTTTTACCTGGTTCTATCAACGTACGTAATCAGAAATATGCATGAGTGAGTTTAGATAAGAATTATTCTATGTCAATATATATATATACTGTAGTTAACTAAATAATATACTTTTTCGTCTTATTCTGTTATTCTTCTTTCTCTCTATATCTATATTTCATAAGTCTAATAAAAGATATAGAGAATTGTTTATCACTAGAATATATAAACCAGCTGATTATGGCCTGATTTCAAAAAACGTGTTTATATGTTTGTTTTTTTCGTAGATAATAATTCGTTTAATGAATTGCAGTCTATTATAATTATAAGATAAAAATAATGATTATTTAAAAGATTCAAATAACAAAAAATAAAATATGATTGTTGACGTACGTAAATTAAGTAGTGGTGCTTGTCCAGCAAGACCTGTTTATCATCATGGACATTTTTGTGTTCGTACATTTCATCGTCTTCTATCCTATCCAGGTTATTCATTATTTATATTTTTTATAATTTATCTTCAAATGATGGATCTAAGACTTTACTTTAAAATACAATCAAGAGGAACATTAGATTATAGTACATCAAATACAATATTAAATCAAACAAATCCTTCCCCAATAAGTCATACTATTCATATATTTGATCCATTACCAATAAAAAAAATGATGGTTGAACCAATTGTAAGAGAATTTCAATTAAAATATTTTTTTATTTATTTTTATTATTTCTATAGATTCATTATGTTCGTTCACCCTTAGCTGAACAAATTGAAAATACATTACATTTTACATATTATTTTCCATTTATATCTGCTAATGCCATATCATATTTTCATTGTTTTCTATCAATCGTATCAATGAAATTTCTTTCAAGTGAATCATTATTTCGACGTCAAATCGGTGTATGTATTTTTCAATTTCGTATTTTTCTTGATTGTCTTGATGGTGTGGTTTTTCGTGCACATTCACATAATAAACGTTATAAATCATATTATGGTGATTATGGATATTATGTTGATGTTGTTAGTGATATATTAGGTGGAACATGTCTTATTGTAAGTGTTTTATTATATTTTTATAAACAACGACCATTTCGTCCAATAAAAACACGTTCAAATATATGTTCAAGTTCATCAGCAAGTGATGGCGGAACTGATGAAACAGATTTAATGATATTAAATCTTGAAGATGATCAATCATCTCCACGTCTTAATTCATCACCATCATCACCGTCGTCATCGCCAAATGAAATTAATAATCATCTACTTGAAACTAAACAAACAATATTTATAACATTAGTATTATTTTCAGTTAAATATTTATTAGCAGCGATGTTCTGGGATAGAAATGTACATGCTTATGAAGATTTACTGGATTCATCAGTTAATACACCACAAGAAAAAGTATAAAATATTTTCATATTAATAAAAAACTTTTTTTTTCTTTCGTCGTTTTATAGGCTTTACAATTAAGTCTTTTACATTCACCCTTAACAATATTGATCTTTTATCTCTGGAGATATTTATGTGCACTTAGTATTCAAGATTATCTTTTATTTGCAATTTTTATTGATCGACCATGGGTAAGTTTTTTCGATATAAGTAATTTATTTACTATTTGTATTTTTCATTTAGGAATTTATACAGAAAACAAAGACAATATCTTGGTTTCTATTAGTTGGAACAGTATTATTAACTGAATTACATACTGATCAATTACGATCTGTATTTGCTGCACTACATAGTAATTCATAAATGAAATAAGCAAGGATATTTCTGTTTTCTCTACTATTGATTCTGTTTTTTCTTTACATGCCAGATCATTTTTGTATTATCAACTTTGAATAAATCAAGAGAGATACAATATAATAAGTTTCTTATATTTATTAAATCGAGCGTTTCTTTTTCTTTTGCTTCTTAATTTGTAATCTTATTCCAGCTCTATATGTGTAAACTTTAGTGTATGTATATTTATTATTTTTATTTATCAAATGAAAAGGAATAGAATTTTTATGAACATTACTCGACAGGAACTCTTGAATGTACTCGAAATAGTCACAATAATATATAAGAGACCATTCTTCTTGATCAATTGCTCTTCCGGTTGTTTCATTAGTGTTGGAGGAAATGATCTCATTATAATAAATTGTTATTATTGGCCGTCGAAAAAACTTGTTCGAGAGAAAAGAATCATATAATCACATTAACAATGACATAGTTTTCTTTGTATGGTAAGTTAATCAATTATGAAATAGTGTTTATAAAAAACTATATAAAATCAAGATCATTTTTTATTGAGAAAAAGTAATTGTTATTAACAAAAAAATTAGACGTCATATTTTATTTAAAACAATTGTTTATTTAAATAAGTAGAAAATATTTTGTATGATGTTATTTTTGTTTGTCTCTCTCTTTGAAATCAGAAAAACAAAATGTATGAAAATAGATTTTTATACATTTTTAAAAAACTTCTCAATAGCCTCCATTCCTTGTCGACAAACACTTATGGGTGGTTTTTCTAATGGATTTCCTTCGAAATTTGATGATAATTCCCATTGATGATACCAGTCGAGATTTTTAAGTTGTGTAATTTTTTTTGGTAATTCTTTTAATTTATTATCACCTAACCATAATGTTTCTAATTTTGATAATTGACATATAGACTCTGATAAACTTTTAAGACGATTTCCAAGTAATAAAAATGTACGTAATTGTTTAAGATGATAGATACTTGTCGGTAATTCACGTATATAATTATGAGATAAATCAAGAAATAATAAATTTTTAGATAAATAACATAAACATAATGGCATTTCTTCAATATTATTATTAGCTAAATGACATGATTGTAAACGTTGTAATTGACGCATTTGATCTGGTAATGTTGCTATATGATTATTACTGGCAGTAAATACTTCTAAATTTTGTAATTGACCGATTTCAGCAGGTATAGTTACAATATCATTATTATCTAAATGTAAGCATTTCAGATTAGTTAAAACGCAAATATTTATTGGAACGCGTGTTAACGTATACATCATGCCAGATTTCGATTCAGGTGTCATATCAAGTATATCCAAATCACTTAATTCATATAATTCAGCCGGTATTGATAATGCATCCGTACCTTAAGAAAAGAATGATTTAGATGTCAAAATTTATTATCGATATTACCTTTTATATGTAATCTTTTTCGTCCATTTGGTAATTGATCAACTAATAATCGTAATCGATTTTGATTTTTAGCATTTCGAAGATGTTTACTATATTCCATAAGAGAATCTATGAGGAAATATTTTGTTTCAGTTTAATTTTTGTTCTTTTTTAATCAAACCTGATAAATCATATCCATTTTGATCAGAGAAATCAAGTTGAGATCTTGGCATTGTTGCCATTGAAAAGTTTGTTGTAAAAAAAAGAAATGTATGCTATTTAACTGTATTTTTTTATACTGATGTGCTCGTGATTGTAATGTTAGTTTAAACAATAATTTCTCTCGTTTGTTTTTTACACTTGTTGTCATCCTTTAAAAAAGAATAATATTTACATTATAAAGTATTTTATTAGTTTATCCATAATAATAAGTCTTCTTAATTTATGCATAGAAAAAAAAACTTTTAGTTCTTTCTTTTTCTTTTTGCACTATTCTCTTGTTTGTAACTTCTTTCTTTTTTTACTATCTTCACCGGTAACACATACTGCAACGATGTGTAATGTCATACGATAAGATACACTTTTTCTTTCTTTTTTTTTCTATATAGTCAGACGATGATGTTGAATGCTTATTCATTATTCTTACACCTTTTTTTTCTATTATTTAACATTACACAAGAAGAAGAAGAAGAAATGTAGTTTTCATTATTTATGAGATAGAATTTTTTTTTGTTTCTATTTCGGTGAATGTTTATCTTGATGTAAGTATAAGATCAACTCTCTCACACTTTTTTTTGTTCGTTTCGTGACGAATATATATATCAATCAATAATCAAAGGATTATACATATTATCATGGTGATAGAAAAGATTAATGATATGAATAATTTGAAATGAGTGATATTTGTTGAATTTAATTTAGTATTAACGTTTGTTATTAAGTCTCTTTTGTTCTTTTGTCTTATTAAAAAAACATATCTTTTTCCGTCATTTTAAAAATTAAAGATAAAATATTGTTTATCTAAAAAGTATTATTCAGATACAACATGCCCAAGGACATTGACTAAGATTGTTAATATAAAAGACAAAAATTTCGTTTTTGTTATTTGTAGATTTATCTAAACGTTTTTTTTTTGAAAAACAAAATGGAAAGAGATGATGATGATGATATTCCAACACCAGATACAAGTCGTTCAAACAGTATAGATGAGGATGAAGAAAATTCATCGTTACCTTCTCCACCACAACCAACTGAAGAAATTACTCAAATTGAATCATCTCCTTCGAGTATATATAAATTTGATTTACTTGATTAATAATAAATATTTCTATATTCAATCTAGATGATACATCAACAAATGTTACTGAACAAATAAGAACAACACTAGCGATGAAACGTGCTACATTTATAACAAGTTCTTCTTCATCATCAGAATCCGAAACAGATTTTGTTGCTTTGGATAAAAGTGATTTTAATCAGAATGATGTACCATCAATAAATGTCGTAAGTTGTTAGCAGACTGATGCGCTCAATTGATTGCTTTAACATAAAGATGCACAACAACTGCAAATAATGGCAATGTGATTATTATTTTTCTTAAATGGCTGCTTGAATACATCTAGATCTTTATTTTTCAATGATTGAGAGTATAACAATTTGGTTTGTAACATCAAAAATGAAATGATTTGTTGACAACGAAAACTGAATCGATAGATCGTTGATATATTTCGTCTATCGTATTTCATAACGTTGTCAGTGACCTTTCACATCGAAAAAAAAAAGAATACACATCCACACACACAAAGAAAAAGAAGAAAAAACGATTTATTTCCTATATATAACTTAATTATCAGTCGTCCATCATTAGTCAATGTCATATCTTCTTCACTCCTCCACCTATGACATCCATTTTGAGTAAAGAATATATACATATGCATTCTGTATATACAGTATAAAAATTATAATCAATTACTGTCATCATTTATGTCGATGAATAACACGACATAAGGTGTGAAATCAAGTGAAAGTAACTTTTTTTCTCTCTCGCTCTCGAAAGAAGTGTGTAAGTATTTGTCGTATTCATAGTGAAGGATATATGAGTAACTGATCAAAAATGAAGGATACACTTGTTTAGATGGTATCCACATACGGATCGATTACACACGAGAAAAAAAAAGTCGTCTATTCTTTATACAACATTTACCTAGCCTGATTAGATTACCCTATAGTAAATGTATTAATATCTTTTATGTTTCTAAGTACCTTTAGAAATATTTATCAATATGTTTTTCATACGTTTCGTGATAATAATAATATACATATTATTAATTGTGTCATAGACATATTTTGACAGTAGAAGAAAAGAGAAATACTGTTTCTAGCACTATAGATGAAGGACAGTTTGAATCATAAGAGTAATGTGAGCGTATGTAACAGAAAAAAAAGTATAGAACAGAATAAAGGGAAAATGAGTAAAAAAAAAGTGTCTTTGACGCTTTTTAATAATGTATTTTTTGTTGTTGTTATTCTTTCTCTTTTCTTTTGATTTGCTTGCTTATATATGCTCGCTTGCAATTTTTTCCGTATTTTAGACGTATCATCAACTTTTTTTTGCTTGGTTCTCTTCGACTATTGTCAATTCCTTTGGTACTTTTCTTTTCTTTTTTCTTCATTCTCTTCTTCTCGTTCTTTTCTTTCCTTCACTGTCGATTCTCTTTGCTTTTTCGCCACAAATGCTCATCTGATCAACATGGCGTCTGACGACGACGATCTTACTACGTTTTATGCGAATTTACCATCGATATTTGAAAGTGATTCAACAACATCTATTGAACATTCGCCTAATAATCTAACTACAATTATCGATAATGAAAAAACTTATCAGCCAATGTTTGGTTCATTCTTATTTGCTGATTCCGAACCATTTACTAGAGCAGCATTTGTCACATCAAGCGAAATAAAACCAACACAAGAACAAGTAGAAGAAGAACAACAACAACAACAAGATGATGATAATTGTAATTCACAAGAAAATAGTAATAATATTTTACCTACATCATCACTTCCACCATTAGAACCCGTTGAAGATATCGATGATTTTGATGATGATGAAGATGATTTTGATGGTATACCAATACGATATACTTCTACGACAATTAAACCAAATCTTAATGGTGATGAAGATTTATATAGTCATCGATCTGAAGATAATAATTTATTAGATAGATTTATTCAACAGATTGAAATTAATCGTGAAAATATTGATAATAATGGTGATGGTGATGATGATCATGATGAAGTTGAATCAATTTTAAATGATTTTCAAGATGAACAACAAGAACAAGATGATACAATAACAATACCAAATTTACTTAAAGACATTCCTGATATTGATGATTTAGATGAACATGAAGAAAAAGATAATGATAGAATACCATTTGATCATATGGATATACTTGATCAATCAGAATCACTACGTTCATCATCGCCTGATTCTCTCCTATCATCGTCACATTTGCATGACGACGATGATGTTGATGCTGATGATGATGATGAACCAGCTATAGATAATCATAATAACGATGATGATGATGACGACGATGTTACACAATGGAATGATGATTTTCTTCTTGCAAAATCAACTTCACATAATGATCGACCCAATGCTCCGTTACCGCCACCATTAGTTTTAAATATGCATTTACATGATCAAGTGGATTTTATTGATTCATCACGTAGTAATTCAAGATGTTCAAATGCTTCATCACATTTAAGTATTGGTTATGCTGATCAAGCACAAATCTTTATTAATGATGATGAACTTGTAACATCATCTGAGTCAGACAATGATTATGATAATAATGATAAAATTGATTTTGAAAATGATATATTTAATTGTGATAATCCTGAAGAAATATCTTTACAAATTAATCTTGATTATCATTCTTCAAGATCATCTTCACGTTCTTCATCGAATCAACATAGTCATAATAGTACACGTACATCATCACCTATACCTGATCAAACACCTATAATTGCTATTGATGAAGATATAAATGAAATAGTACCTATTCAACCAGCTCCAATTGCTTTCAATGATGATGATATTGATGATGATATTGATGATATTAATGACAATGATTTAGAAACATTTACTTCTGATCAACCAGTATTATCATCAAGATATTTTCTTGAATTAAAATCTCAACAACGACAAAATGAAATTGTTCATGATATTGTTAATATAAGACATATATTAAATGAACGTGATAATGATGATGAATTTATTGCTGTTATGCATAATCCATCTGTATTTGAAGAAGTATTATTTGATACCGATAATGAACAGGTAAATTCTTCTTCTTCTTTTTTTTTGTATAATACCCAGACAATATCTTTAATTAAGCCTTGACTTTTGGTCAAGGATAAATTATTTCTATACATTCTCATATGGATTGTATATATTTTCTTTTTTCTTTTCTTTACTCTAAAGCTGTTCTATCTCCTTAATAGATGATATATCCCCTTATAGTAGAATAGATATTATATAACCGTAAATTGATAGATACTGTCATCATTATCCATCTATCAGTAGATCACAAGAACAAAAAAAGGAATAAGAACGTTAGTTCATCCTATGTGTTTCTTTATTTTCTTTTATAGAAATCGGATTTACTCAAGCAAACAAATGTTATTCCTAATAATTCTCATATAACATCACAGCTATCTAATGAAAATGAATCATTGGATCAATACCAAAATCGACAAGAGACAGTATCCAACAATGAAAAGAAGAATCCTTGTCATATAATAACAATAAATAATCATTCTCCTTCTTCTATCAATCACTCTCTCATCGAAGAAGAAGAAGAAGAAGAAAACGACCCCGAACAAAATGTTAGGATAAAACATACAAAAGAACAACAGTTACAAGGAAAGTATCCTATCAATAACAATCTAAAACAAATTATCAACAGTAAAAACGACCAAATAATGAGTTCAGATGATGATGATGATTTCGAATTATTAAATACTCTTGCTCAATTACATGGTTTAGTTCATACATCTCGGTTATCTTGTGAAATTAATCAACATCTAAATGAACCAAATATAATCAATGAAGAAGAAGACGACGAGAAAAATAATTTATTACCAACATCTCATAACAATGAGAAAAAAACTTCAATTTTATTTAATAATGAAGAGCAAAAGAAATTTCTTGAAAGAAAAGAAGATAAACAATCATCAAGTCTTCTTTCATCAATAACATCTTCTGCTCTATCTAATGATCAGGAATCAAATTCTACAGATATTAATCTTGATTCCGATACATCTTCTTCATTAATAATATTAATGAATGAATTAAATTATTCAATATTACCTTCAAATAGAAGAAATCTAAACAAAAATGATCTTTTACAAAAAATAACAAATAATAATGAACTATCATATTCATCAACAATCGATATGTTATCATCAAAAACAGATTCTTCATTCAATGATGAAGATATAAATCAAACTGAATTACAATCTTCAGAAAATCAAAATCTTGAAATCTTATCAATTATTGAAAAATTAGTTTCAGATACTCTTCAATTAGTAAAAAACGAATCAAAACAAGATGATAAAATCTTAACTGAACATCGTTCATCGTATCAAAATCAAAATTTTGAATCATCAAATCCTATTCAAGAAATTGTATTTCCATCATTATTTACCGATTCTGTTATTACAGTCAATGATATTATGAAACATTCACTGACAACAACTGTCACAAATCAATATATTGATGACAGATGTATACTTCAAGATAATTTTAGTTTATGCAAAGTAATTAATCATTAAGAATAATTTTTGTAATAATAATCTTACTAATCGTTTTTAAGTAAAGGGGTAAAATGATTAATAACACATTTTGCTATAAAGCTTTATGCTCATATCTTTCTCTCTCTCTCATACTTGATTTAAATTATAGTTCTTTTGTTAAATATTTCAATGATATATTTAGAATGAATCATCAATAACAACAACTGATGAAAAAATCAATGATGAATCAATAAAATCTAAGAATTTATCAGTATGTAATTTTGAGGCATTCAATTTAGAAATTCTTTTTGTTTTGTCTTTCATTAAGGAAACTCAGGATGAAGATATTAATGAAGCACCACCATCAGCAACAAGAACAGTGAATGAAGATGATAGTACAAGTACTGATAGCGATGATGATGATGATGAATTAAATGAAAAAGAGAATTTCTTTGACAATAAACCAGGTTTCGCACAATTCGAAGCATTTGCTAGTGATCAACCACTTAATTCACAAGTTCTTGATTCACTAAGAGCTGATATTGATAATGAATTAGATCAATCATCTCAAATACAAGATTCAACAATATCAATTGATCAACAATCTGAAATAATAAAATCTACGGATGGTGGTGATAATGAACCATGGGAACTTGAAGATAGTGGTGACGAAAAACTCAAACCAGTACCAACAGATACAATGCTAAAGAATGATTCATATACAAACTTCTTTCCGAATAATGAAGCATCATCATTAACAGCTACAATTGAAGGATCAGATGATGACAAAGAGAAAGACAATTATGATGATTATTTTGCTCAACAACAACAATCAAATGAACAAAATGAAGCATCACTTTCAAAAACTGTACGATTCGATGAGAATATAAATAATGTTGCTGTTTTAACACCAAAAGATAGTCTTGATCGAACAGAATCATCGGATACACCTATTGATTCCGATGACGACGATGGCATGGAAGGTATAACATTAAATCTTAGAGCACCGAGTGATCGAATTGCTGATCATATGAATGAGACAGAAACAGATTATAAAAATGAAACAATTGAAGTGAAAACTACTACATCTATTCCACGACCCGAAAGTAATATATCATTAACAGATAGCGAAGAAGATTTACCACCGCCATTGCCACCACTACCGCCCTTAAATAAAAAATCATGTAATTTAACTTTTTTTCAATGTAAAATAATATTTATTGATTTATATATATATTATAGCTAGTCAAACCGAAAACATTCCATTAAAATCATCATTATCATCAACAACTAATACAGATTTAAAACGTAAAGCAAATTCACGTTCTGAACCAGATATCACTCCGACTATACAAACAACAACCGATGCATCATTACTTAATACTACAGAGTCACAATTAAATCGATCATTTGAGTCAGGTATAGTTAAATATATATATATTGAATGATAAATTTGCTATGATAGTAATTTATTGGAGGATTAGATATATATTAGTTTTAATTATAAATTCTCGTCCTATTATCTTTTGATAGTGTTAAGATTGTTGTTAATGTGCTATTAATAATATCATTTACTAGTAACATAGTGCTTATTACTGATAACTTGATTTCAATGTGTAGAATATTAATCATGGTTTTCCTATTGAAATAATTAAAAAAGATTATCTCTTAAAAGTTACTAGGTAGTTTTGATGTAAGACTTTTAATGGAATATATAAACTAGATTTATGAGTTTTTTAAATTAAATATTCGTGTAATCAATTTAGGTTAATGATATAATAGAAAGATAAGAAAAATCAATAAATAATCATGGTCAGTATAACTGATTTTTATCACAAACATTTGAAAAAAATATGAGAAACCTTGACTGTTAAAAATCTAGATACTATATTTCTTATTAATATTGCAATTAACTTTATGATTATATTGGGAGATATTTTTCATATTGAATACTTATCAATTAATCATCTTCATTATATTTATTTATCTCTAAATTTTGATTATTATCATTGTCTGAAACTGTATCGAGTAAACTTAATACACATGGTAATGAACTAACTGAATGAAAATCAAGAAATTCTTCTACAGCAACCGTTGTTGTTGTAGTTTTCGTTGTTGCCGTTAATGGATCCATTCTTATTGGTTCAGGTTCGATTTCAGCAGTCATATTCGAAGAATTATTATTCATCGTAACAGATAATGTTGTTGTCTCAATTGATTCTCGTGTTATAGTAATAATACTTGGTCGTCGTTTATCATGTTCATTAATTATACTAAATGTAGGTTCTAATGGTGTATCAATATCAACAGGTGCAAACATAGATGTCAATGGATGTGGATCATTAATATCATGACGTATAACAAGATTTGCAAGAATACTTGATGTTGGTGCTAATTCACGTCGTGGTAGTAGTGATTTAATAAATCTTGGTGCTTTACGTATAGCACTTGTATTATGAGAATCATTGGATTGTTGATTTTGGTGTTCACCTTGAATTATACGTTGTAATTCAGCATGCGATACAGGTGTATATGATAGAGCAAGACGACCATTTTGAGGAATGAGGAATGACGAACGACGATCCGTGGGTTTATGTCGACGATAATAAGCTATTTCAAGACGATGTAATACTAAACGAGCAAATCCAATAAATAATAAACAAATAACAACAGGTGATACACCAATTATAACAGCATATAATGTTCGACGAATACATTGACCTGAGCATTGCTGTTCCATCATATTACATAGGAAGAAAAAAAAATAGTTACTTAAACAGTTTATATTAACTATCAATCATCCAATAAAGAGATATGATTCGAGGCTTTGCGTTGTTTCTGGTAAAAGCATGTGTACGATGGACATTTTCTTGACTTTACTAACTAGAGTATGCTGTTAATGAAGTGTTGATACAAAAAAAGAAGCGATATTAATAATAAGAACAATAATAACAACAAGGACAACAGCAACGAAAATCTAACGGACTAACAAAAAAAATACAGTAGAGTAGCGTGTTTGATTATCCCCACATGATTATATATATATATATATATATATATATATTTACGACAGAAAGAAGAAGTAAACCAATGTATACAATATTCCCTATCCTTTTTCCGCCTACGAAATAAAAGCATTCCTATTGATATATAGTGCAACCAAATTGTATATTTGTTATAACTGACAAATCAAACAACTTGCAAAAATTGTTTGTTTACTAGTATTATCTATGAATAGATTTTAATGACAATAGGATATAAAATTTTTAGTTTGAAGAAATAATTTAAATATAAAATATTGAATTTTTTTTAGTTTCATAATCGTTTTTGATTAACTGGAAAAGTGAAGTTAGAATATATGTTATCAATTCAGAACAAAAAGATCGCTAATCAATCATATAAGACAATAGATTTTCTTGTCTAATAACAAAGATCTTAACTATCCTTTTAGGTTTCTTTTTTGATTGATTTACAAGTATAGAGTGCTTGTTATTATGTTATAACACATAGAAAAATAAGAATAAGAAACCAGGGGAAAATGTTTTTAGTAATTGATTTTCGAAAGAATTCGATATATATATATATAATGATTCATGCTACAAAGAAGATTTACATTAGGAATATTATTATCTTAAGAAATTATATCTATAATTTATGAATATGATTGAATGTATAAATGAAAGAAAACTGAGAATATTTGGTGAAACTTAATCTAGGATTGATAAGACAAATAAATAAATTGACTTTTGTTTTCTATCTAGCTATTCTTCGTTCGGTATCGAAAGATAATGCGGATACTGATGGCGATGAAGTCAATGATGTTATTTCATGTACGATTGATAATAATCAAATTAATATTGATGCTAAAACAATTTCACCATTTAAATGTATTATTGGTTCAGCTGGTCAATTGGAAGAAGATAGTCAAACAGCTGTCATTGCTATCTATGGTTGTTGGTTACCAGATCGTCGTTTAAGAGAGTATCGTTATATAATGGATCAATTATTTTAGTAAATTAATCTATGATTATTTATTTTTGAATAATTAATTTTTTTGTTTATAGTTATATTTATCATAAATTAGAAAAACTAGTAACAAAAGATTATATTCTTATTTATTTTCATGGTGCAACTCCAAAACATCGAACACCAGATTTTAAAATACTTCGACAATATTATCAAATGATTAATTTTCGGTAATAAAATATAAATGAATAATTTCTTATATTTAATCGGATCATTTTTCTTTTGAATTAGATTAAGAAAAAATCTTCGTGCGATTTATGTTGTACATCCAACACGATGGTTACGTACTCTCATTGCTCTTTCACGACCATTCTTCAGGTAATAAACAAGAAATTTTTCATCATCATCATTTAATTTTTCTATGAAATCAATAGTAATAAATTCTATCACAAAGTGCATTATCTATTCACAATTGCTGAACTTGAACGAGAATTTCCTCACAATCATATATCACTTCCAGTTATTATTGAGCAGTAAGTATTTTATTCTATTGACTAAAAAAACAGGGGAAAAATTATTTAATTCGATATATCTAGACATGATACATTAGTATCTTATATTGATTCTTTTTAACAAGGTAGAATATTGTTATTGTTAGGTGTTGTCTATTTGTTTCGCTTTCTATGTGGTCAATTCATTGGTGATAGTATCTATATTTTATTTTAGTTTCGATAAAATTTATCGTATGGAATAGATCATTCTGGGTAGAGAAAAAGAATTTATCTAACTTATTCGTTGCATAAAATAACTAAAAACTTTGCTTTTATTCTTATTTCTTTACTAATAAAAAATATTCGTTTTACTGATAGAAAGTTAAATCTATTATTTATTCAGATTTAGTCTACCACCTTGCAAAATTAGATTTTTTTGCTTTTGTTGTTAATACTAATATGTAAGTATAAATGAAGAATTGCATGTCCATTCCCCCCCCCTTCTTGTTGAATACTAAAAATGCTTGTCATTCCTTTTATTTCGACTGTTGTGTGTATGAATGTTTATATATTATTCTTATTTTTTGTATAATTATTATTAAAATATTTGATTTTTTTGTAGAACAGATTGGTTGTATTCTCAAAGATATGATCGTAAAAATGCAAGTATAAAACGTTCTATTGAACGATCAGCGGCAAATTCGATTAGTGGAATCGAAAATGAAACGACAGCTTAAAAGAAAATCTATACCCGGTATTCATGTTTTTCTTTGTCTTCGTCTTTTTATAATCTTTTTTTTTTCTTCTGGTAAATTTTAATTTTATTGTGCAATAATGTGGTGCTTCTTTTTTGTCTTTTTTGTTTTTTATTTCATATCTATTTTCAGTGACCATTTATATTGTATATGTCTGTAGACAAGGAAAAGATTTGCGGCAATCAAATTGTTTATTGTGTTTTAAAAGAAATAGAAATCAAAACTTAATATTATAAACAGGTAGAAAAGCAGACAATATACGATTCAGTTTTTTTCTTAAATATATATGTGTTTTTTGTTTTTGTTTTTATTGATATATATATCTACATATAATTCTTTAACTATTTTCATTATTAAAAACATACTACTCGGTATTGTTAATTTAATATGATACGATTCGTAGATATTAAAAGTATTTCGTCATTTAAAATTTAACAGGATTGGAATAATAGAATCAAGGCGAAATATATACGATGAGAGTATGTGTTATTCGATTTTGTCCAATGTTAAATACTTTGTAAACTAGTGAATAGTATTTTATCTAGCGGGTGGCGCCCACCGGAAAAACACTGCTGGTAAATGAAACCTCGTTTCGATTTCAATGCTTCTTTACGTTAATACATATCAAATAGCGTTTTAAGCAGAGGTGCGCAACCTTCTAAAAAATGAAAAATTTCCCTCCTCGCACGGGGAAGATTTTGCATCTCTGGTTTTAAGTTAAAAAAATTCCTCGAATGATTATTGAAATAGGAATATGGAATTAAAATTTATACAGCTGATGTTTATATATTGGACATTATGTAACTATATGAGGGTTTTAAATCAAACTTATGCTATTAGTCATTACTTACAAATATGAATATCGTCTGTTTACTTCCGAGAATAATTGTAACCTCTATTTATTTTTTGATAACATTATAGTTGATATATAAAAAGCATTCATTAATTACAATGTTATTTTTGTCTTCATAACAAAAACATTACACTTTATTTGACCTTTTCCTAAAAGTAAATATCAGAACAATCTCTCGTGGCTATATATCGAATACCCATAAACAGAATATCAGAGCATACTTGATTTACATTTTTTATCAAAAAAAACAGTACTATTATGTTTTCTCTTTGATTGTTTTGTTTTAATATTTATGTATAACAAAAACAGATATATATATTAATTAGTAATAAAAAATAAAAATATATGCGTATTATAAAAAAAAGAGACTGATTATTGATATATAAACATAAAAGCAAAATGGTATGATTTGTAAAATTAAACACGTGAAAAAAATGAACGTTTTGTTTTCGTTAATTGATCTTTAATTTGAATATATCTATTCGGACTTAATCTAAAATAGATGACTGTTGAAATAATAATAATCACGATTAATACAATTGGTATAACAACACCAGCAATCCATATCGACTAAAAAAATTTGTCAAATATTAAATTTTTAGAAAATTTGTTTTTCTATTGACTTACACTTGATGATTTTTCAACAAGTACAAATACACCAGCGGTATCGGATTGAAATTTAAGTACACGATTATTTGTATCAAGTGTACTAAGTAGTTTTAAATAAATACCATTGGTAGGTTCAAATTGAAGAACATCAACATTTTTTTGATCATTATTCAATTCTTGAAATGGAATTTGAAATTGAATATTAGAAGAAAATTGAAGATCATATGGTTCAACAACATAAACACTATCAAATAGCGTTTGTTTATTCTAAAATAATATAGTTTTTAAAAGAAATTAGTGAAAATATTTTATCTTTACATACAACAATATTTTGTCCATTTAGAGGTAGAATTTGTGATAGTTGATCACGACTAAATTTCGAGAGTTTTATTGGAACTGTCGTATTAACACTTCCTTCAGGAAATATCACAGTAGTATCACTAGATAAAAGAAAATAGGTCATATTAAATAAATTCATTTAATACTATACTCTATTTTAGTAGTATAAGTATTCTGTCCAATAGTTTGATAGTTAAATTGAAATGGTTGAACAATAATTCGGCCTTTTTGATCACGATTTGAAAAATCATTATTACGTGTTGATACGTAATGATAAATACCAGATGATTTATCTGTGATCAGACGTGGTCCAAGATCGAAATATGCTGTAGCATTAAGTAATAATGGATCTGTATCTAAAAAAAACACGATAAAAATAATAATTAAATCGAATTTCGATTTTACTTTGTCCAGAAGCAGCTAAATTTCGAAGATCGCTTAATGATAAATTAAGAAAAGTTGATTGATTCAATAATTCAGGTAAATTCGCTATATATAAACCAGTAAAATTCAAATATTGAAATTGATTCCAACTTGGATTGATTTTCTAATTATAATCAAAATATTATTTATTTATAGAATTAATTTAATCATACTTTATTTGTAAGAAGTAATAAATTATTTCGATCAATTTGTTGATTACCTTGTCCAGCACCTGGTGGAGTTGTATTCGAACCAATCCATCTAAACAGAAAAAGAAAATTTTATATAGATATTAAAGCAAATTATTCTATTTACTGAATATGAACATATGAATTTGGTGGAATTTCTAATCGATTTGGTACAAAATCATATTCAAGAGCAGGATATACTAGAAGATAATAATAGATAATCATGTTTTTGTTTATGTAAATGTTTTATTTACCTTGAACAATATTTCCACGTCTACCTCTAACATTTAAATTATAAATAGGTCTATCTTGATATTCAGTAGGACGTTGCCGAATTTCAAATGTAAAAGATCTATAAATATTAAGTTTCCTATATTTAACATGTAAACAAGAAAAAATGTAAAACCTGTCTTGAAAAACACGACCATATTGTTGTGTATTTATAGCAAGTTGAAGTGTTAAATTTACACCATCAAATAATTGTATTTGAGGATTTGTTTGATAGCGATAACCACGATTTTGAGCAGTTGATTCATTTGGAAAATATCTTATAAAAAAAAGAAATAATCTACATATTTAAGAATTTTGTTAACATACTCTTTCATTACATAAAGATTACCAAGATTACTTGTTGAATTAATATTCCAACTATCATAATCAGCAGTTGAGATATTATATCTAAATAATAAAAATAAGCTTTAAAAATTAGAACAAAAATAGAAAGATTTACCGAACACGTAAAACACATTTTTTTGCGCTTATATTTGGTAATGTCCAATTATATACGGGCATATCAGAACCAAAAATATCACCAAGATGATTTTCTCTTGTATATGATGGTGTATAACATTCAGGTGCTGGTTGATTAAGACTTGGATATTCTACCCAACTTGGTTTAGTACCATTTAAACGTGAATCAGTAAATGCCTATGACATTATTAATGAGATTTATATAGAAAAAAAGAAATTGAAAATATATACCTCGCATTGTTCTTTAATATTAGGTATAATAATTCCAAGATTATTTGCTGCTATTAAAACATCTTTGTTAGCAAATGTACAAGCAAAACGTGATTGAATATTTTGACTATTTTGCCGATAATAAGAACATAAATCTTGTCGATTTGTTAGAATAGCAATATCCTATAAAAAAAAAAATTTAGTATTTTATTTTAAGAAAATATTATCGCATACAATCCAGTTTGTTGGTTGCCAATATGGATAATAATCACGTTCTTCTGGACATTCATAACCATATCGTGTACCAGCAGGATTTTGTCGTGTACTAGTTGATGAACTTCCTAGATTCTATTAATTAAGAAACAATTATTTAACAAGATACGTAATTTTTTATGAATTCAATTACTTGTTCAGCAGTAAATAAATTTTTATTTCGACTTCGTACACGACAATTCAAATAAGATGTTAAATCTTCTGTTAATCTATATGTTGAATTTTGTTCTCCATCGACTGTTACAGGTATTGTTCTATTTAAATTTAATAACAATCAAATATTTCTATAATCTTTAAAACAAAACTACATACGTTGTTGATGCTCCATCTCGAAGTGAATCATTACATGTATATTGAAGTATAAGTGTACAATCAGCATTAACATCATTACATGAATGTTGATTTGTCCTAAATCATATTTTAGATTAGAAAATTAAAAAGATTATTATTATTGTTACCATTGAATTGGTAATATTGAAGTAGCATAATAATATATAGCTCCATCGTCACCAACATTATATCCTCCTCGATTATTATTTTGTGAATCAAAACTCCTATAATAAAGCATATATATATAAGAATATATACAGATAAATTTTCATTATGATTTACAATTTAGCATTAGCACGTTCTGGAGTATTTTCATTGTGTCGATTATTACTTCCTCTAAATAAAGATTTGAATAAAGATAGAAGAAGAATATTACTGTGAATTAATCTACCGTGGATTGTGCAGATAAATATCGGTAAAAATTGGTTGGATTAATATTAAAATAGTATAACATAGTAGGAATATATTGAAAGACATATTGAATGATAAAAAACGAAGTAATGAATCTAATCGTGTACTTATCACTTGTTTTTCATGAGTACAATTGACTGACTCATACGTCTGACACGATGAGTAATAGATATGAAAAGTGTGTTTTAATTGGTAACATATTTTTAGATTTTTCGCCTAAAACTAATAGTATTGAAGAATATATAAAACATTTTTCTGTTTCTCTAAGATATTCGTGCTAAGTTTTAAAATAATTTTATTCGGGTTATGAAATAATTCAAAAAAAATATTGTAAAACTAGTGCCATCTACAAAACTATTTTTGAAAAATACTTCTTATATGAGATAAATTCTACAAAATGATATTATCTTATCGTGAAACATGACTTGAGCATGTGAAGTTTGACATACTTATCATATCTCTGTGAATCACATGAATGGTATGATGATTTATTATAAGTATGTTTCGAAATTATGTAGCGAACACATTGATAATCAATAAAGAAAATTGAAATATTTCTTTTATATATAATCCATATGAACCAATTATCAAACGATCATAAGAATTAAATACTTCTGTTAGCATAAAACATCAGACAGTATCGCAAATATTTAACTATTTTGTATCAAAACTCAGTGTATTTATATAAGAGGGTGTTTTTCTGCAAGTATGAAAAGTGTCATATGTTACTAAAGGATAATACAAATTTAACGTGATTGATGAAATATATAAGAGATACGAAAGCAACGAAAATCAGTACAAAGTGATAGCTATGGGTGGGTGGATGTAGACTCGCGATAAATATGGCACTTATCCCCACACTCTCTTAATTTATCCATTTCAACTTTATTTGTCTTCAGATAATGTGTTATTTTAAATTGAAAGAGTCACTTTACGTCGTAATTATTGGTGAACCTTTTAAAATATCGGTTTACACTGAGTGCTCGGTTCAGCCGGTATAGTGATTACTAATCGTCACCATTGTATCCCTCGATTTTATCATCCATATTTCTACAGAATTCTGTTTAATGTCGAACCGGTTGACCTGGGATATATTCTTCTCATATAATATTAACATCAAAATTATGAATTGATAGAAAAACATCTTTTTATTATCATTGAATAATCGCTAATAAGACTATACGAATCATATAACTGTCTCAAAAATAACTATTCTTGTTGAAATCATTTTTTTTTATCATTCATCGAACTTTTAGCATGACTTGATCTAATTTTATAAAAACATATCTTATAGAATCAAGTAGTCAATTTATTTTCATATTTAAATTAAATTTTATCAATACAATAATCAACATTTGACACGCTATATTTTGTATCACCGATTATCGTTATCATAATTAACGTATGAAATAATTTTTTTTGTCAGTAGTAAAATATTTTCTATTCTTTTTCTAATAAATGTTAACTATAACTGTCAGACATACTTTTTCTACTTAAATTTATAAAAAAAATGTTCTTTTGAATCTCTTTTCTTCGTATCTTCTGGTTACTTTTAAGATAGTTTTTCTTCTAACGCAATAAATCTTAGATAAACAATAAAAACGTACTATACATCATGATTTCATTTTTTTGAACTCAATAAACTATTAATTTATATTCCAGATATAATTGTTTTTCAGCAATTCAATTTTATATTAAATAGCAAAGCAAAAAAATTGAGTTCGATTGATTTTAATAGGAAAAATGTCTTTAGTACGTAGGATAAATTAAATGAATGTTTATTGGACATTGAATTTTATTATTTGTCATACTTTAAAATTATTGATTTTCTTTTTTTTTCTTTCTTTTTGTTGTTGTTATTGAACTGACGGATCGAGATAGACAGTGATGATAAATTCATTATCGGTCGGACAAGTAGAACAAAACGAAGAAACTATTACTTTTTTCTTCTTTTCTTTTAGTTTTCCGTTTCTGATTTTTACTTGATTTTAACTTGCATTAATAATATAGACTTCTTTCTTTGTTTTACTAAGCAAGAAGAATAAATCGAGATGTTCAATGCACGCGATGTCAGATATTCTTCGTTGTCGGCACCTTCATGTTTTCTATTAGTAGAAAAAAAGAAAAAAGAAGGAGGGAGAAATGACTGAAAAAATAAGAATCACCATTTTCCGACAATCGACGAATATCCAAACAGAGAGAAGGGGGGAGAGAGAGAATGAGAGAAACAATCACTTGGTATGAGTAAGAGCTTCCGTCTTCTTTCTTAAAACTTGCTCTATAGCCAACAAACACGCTCACGCATACACCTTGTCGATTTCAGTCGGTAACTACATTATCTCACGTATAAATTGTGTGTTTCTTTATACTCGCACAATCAATTAAAGTTGCTCCGAGAACCATTTCATTAAAACAAGTATCGATCAGAGTATGTATCAGACCTTTGACATACGAAAAAAACTTTTGATTAGTTTATATTTTTTAAGAAATTCTAATAAAAATATTTCAATTTATCAAATATGGTTAGACGTATAGAAGGTACAATTGATTATGAAAAACATAATGAAATTCTCAATGATAATCATAAAGTTTTAATCTATCTTGATGATATGACATTAACTGGTAAGTTAAATATATCAAAAAAAGAGAAAAAAGAAAATAACTAACCAAAAAAAAATCTCTAGAACTTGGTTCACAAGATGGTTCATTTGTTCGTAAATTTCATACAATTGCAAAATTAATTATTGAAAATCAAATTCTTACATTTCCTATAACATTTACACTTGAATATGATGAAAAAGAAATTGAAAAAGCATCAAATTATTCATTACGTGTACGTATTGTAGCTGATGGTAAAACACGTTTTATAACAAGTACAAATGTGCCAGTTCTTACAAAAGGTTATGGAGATATAGTTGATATTCAAGTAGAAAAAATTGATTTAATGTAAGAACTTAAAAACATGTCTAACAAACAGAATGTTCTTTTAAGATATGTTAAAGTTTATTCTATGTGTGCTTGTATTGTGTTAAATAAATATTAAAATAAAAAGAATGAAATATAAATGTGATCATGCAATACGAAAAATATATTTCTAAATTTTTCTTTTTTTCATTTAATTAAACTTATTTTAGATGATAATGTCAATCAAAGTCCAAAAATGGAAAAAAAATAAAAGAATATCATTCAAGTACACTCTATGTTCACTTATGCACGAGAATAAATCAAATAATTCATTGGCGTCAAGAAGGTCATTAGATATTAATTAAATATAGGGAGAAGAAGAAGAAAAAAAAGAATAATCAATTTAAAGGGAATTTCTATTCATGTAAACATTGTTAGTAAAAATAGAGATTATTCATGAAAAAGCTGTAGTTGAATAAAAGAATAAAGAATTATTCATCTATTTCAAATATTTACATTCTCATCATAGAAAATATAGTCTGAAAGTATAGAGGTACCTGTTGATGTTATAAGAAGAAAAAAAGGCTGATTTTTTATAATGTGAAAATATTTGACAGGAGACATTTGCCATGTGAGATCAAAATATGTCATATGCATGAAAACCAACTTATATAACACAAAAAACATAATAATCATATGGAAAATGTATGAAGTCAAGTTTATAGAACAAAAAAACGTAGGAGTATAAACTTGCCAGCTGTCTTTTCAGTATAATCATAATATATATGTTTTTAAATATCTATGGTTAACAAATATTTTATTTAAAACAGTGGCGGATTTAGGGAGGACAATGGGGGCGGTTGACACTACTTTGACTGGACTCAAAAAATAGTTTTTTGTTGAGATCGCCCCTCTCCTCTACTCAGGTATCATCCCTCCCTTCCAAAATTCTAAATCCCCCACTGATCCAAAATTGTATCTAACATTTTTTTAAATGTAAAACCAACTTTCACAATTCATCGAGATGCATTATTTATTCTAAGAATAAATGATTTTATTTTTGAACTAATATAAGTACCTACTAAAATATCTTTTTATTCTACAGTTTAACAAACTATTAACTATTCTAGGTATGTAAGGAAGTTTTATAAAAAATAATTCATTCGATCATTAGCAAGAAGAAAAAAATAATCCTATTAAATATTTTTATATCTTATTTTCTCCTACGATAAACGTATTCAGATAAAACCATTATATTTATATATCATGATTAACAAGTCCAAATGTACTCGGTGGATAATAAATCCGAGTAATTAATCACGATTTGTACTTGATAATTATTTTTGTAAACATGTTTTTTATGTGAAACATATATCTTACGTAAGTAACATTGCATAGACTTTGATAAACGAGATATCAATGATATATATTTATTCGACGTTAATCATATTTATGAATGTCATTACGAGAAAATATTCCTCCAGTTCTTTCCGCTATGATCAGATGTTATTTATAGACAATTTTTCAAAAAATCAAAGCTTCGGATTAATAGATAATCTAGTCGTTTTAGAATTTGTTATTTAAAATAGAAAAGTTTTTGTATAATTATATTTGTGTCAATGAGATCCGTTTTATTTATTTCTTTTTTTTTTTAAATTCAACAAAATTCATATACACATATCACATAAATAACAACGTAAGCGCCAGGAAATTTAAATAATAGCAGAATAAGAAAAGAGAAAGCAAGAATTAAATGTTATTAAAAAGGGGGGTATTCTTAAAAAATTCTATTGTTCAGCTTTTCACATTTAAGTCAAGTATTAACGGTCCTTTATCACTAGTAAAACCATATCTTTTCTGTACTGTATTTGGTGGTTGTGGTGGTGGTGGTCGTGGTAATGCAAAAAGGACTTTAGCTGTATCATAAATAAACCATTGAAGAGCTGTTAATGTACCAATCATGAAAATACGTGGACCAAGACCTTTCCATAAACCTGAAAATAATAAAATTTATTCTTATTTTATTAATAAATTAAATAATACTTTACCAGCAAATCCAACACGACGTACAGCATCAAATAAACTAAGACCTTTTTCATTATTTAATTTTGATACAATAGTATCAGCTGGATGACTAACAATAGCACAAAATATTCCAGCTATATAACCAGCTATAAATGTTACACCTAATTGTTCTGTTTTTGTACATTGTTCACGTGGCTTAGGAACGACATATTTATAAAGTGCTTCAACTGTACGTTCGAAGCATGCAAATTTCATCATTGTATAAGGTATTTGACGAAGCCATAATGGTACAATACCTTTATAGAAACCCCATAGTCCTTCTTCGGCATAAAGTTTTGGTAAACCTTGTCTTAATGTCGATGCCCAATTATCTTGTGTTTGTATTCGTACTTTCGTAGCTTCCCATGGTGCTAATGCAATATCAGCAAAAAATTCAGCTGATGCACTTGATAATAGATAAAGTAATGTTCGATAAACATAAGCATTTTCTTCACCAAGAATTCCTCCATAGAAAATTTTAAAAACTTCATAAAAACCAAATTTACCAAGACCTTGCAAAGAATAACCAATTAATGTTGGTGCCCAGCCTTTACTTAATCCTAAAATACCTTCTTCTCTAAATAAATTGATTTTATTTAGTTACAAATAAAACAATATTTTGTTTGTTAAAACATACGCAATCGTTATTTTAAATGCATTAAAAAAATTTACATATTTTTGAGGTTTGACTTGTAAACGACATTTAATAAGATCCTAGAACACGACAAATATTTAGTTTTTGTAGAGTATCTCGATACTTGAAGAAACGTTTTTTTAAGTGTATGAAAAGGAATTTATAAAAATATTATGAGCTTTAGAGCTTTCTGTTATGTAACTATGGTAATTCTGCTTAGTACGATTCAATGAGCCGTCTCAGAAGGAAATCAAATTACTGTCAGCAATATTTTCAATCCATTTACATAAAACTACTAATTTTTCAAAACAAAGTCTGTGGAAATGTTTAGAATTAAATACTTTAAAAAGAGTGTTTCATAAGTATCGTCTCCCTTTTTATTTTCATTTTATCTTTAGCATATTCAATGTTTTTTTAAAGAGCAACATTTTTCCTATCAAACCACTAAAAGTTGTGTTGAATTGGCATAGATCTTAAGAGAATGCTACATCGCTAAGAATTTTTTCAAATACATGTTTACTTATTCTTTATAAAGAATGTTTACGAAGTTAATTATTTGTTTTCATCTGATAAAACACATTTGCGATATTTCTAAGCTCTGATTTTGTAGAGAATTTCGCGAGCTATTTTTTGCAGATGAGAATATTTAAGTCAGAGCAGATATTCTCAAAATACCGATAAAAACATTCTTTATAAAGGACAAGTAATAATGCACTAGAAATTTTTTTATCGCTGCAACACTCTCTTACGGTCAGTGTTTTATCCAGCGAGTAGGCGCAAACCCATGCATATATTCTATTCTCGCAGAATTAATATATTTACAGTGAAAACTAAGATTATCATTAGAGAAAGTTTTATTCATATATGTAAGCAAGAAACATACAAGTGGAACAACTGTTGTATGTGTTACGCCACAACTTATCATTCCAGCAATACCACAATAAATATAATATTTAACTGAACCATATTCACAGCTATAATGTTCTAAATATCAAAAATAAAATAAATAGATTTTGTTAATGTTTTAATTCATCTACCTTTGCCATTTGAATGATTTGAAGAAGAGAAATTACCTAACTCTGCAATAGATCGTACTATTATCATCTATTCATAAATACAACAATTCATATACTTCATTTATAGATATTTCAATAATACATACGACACATTTGTAAGGAATAACTGTTATAAGACGAATAAGTGTAATAATATAAACAACAAATTTATTTTCGAATATTTCTTGTGATTTCATATTTAACCAACGATAATGAGATGAATGATGATTTCTATAACTAGAATATATTTGATGATGAAAATATTTTCTATAAAAACATAAATTAATCAATAAGAAGAAGAAGAAAAAAAGCATGTCTATATTATGTCAAATATAATTTCATATATAAATCAAACGTCCTTACTTTTGATCGATCATAGAATTAATTTCGTTTAATTAACATTTGAAAAAAGATTTCATTTGATTTTATAGAAAAATGATATGTATTCAGAATCGAACGCACTTCCTTTCTCTCGTTTACTGCTTAGTATACACTCGTTATAAACCATGTTATGGTATGTTTATCGTACAGAATGAAACACGTGTATTTCAAGGAATTTTTAAAATACAGAACCGCAAAAAAAAAGAAATACTTTTATTTACTTAGTATTTTTCATTTAGAACATATTCCAACACTAAACATGGCGATTATATTGACATGCAATCGAGAGTGTTATATAAAAAGTTGAAGTAATTGATCTAGAAAGAAAAATGACGAATATTAGGATTAAAAATATTATTCAATACAATGAATCAAGGAAAAGATTAAGATCTATTATTCGATTAACTAAGCTAGGATTTACTTATTACAATAGAAAAATATGTTAGGAACATTTTTTGTTCGGAATTTTTATTTGAAAATAAGAGTTAATATATATTAGTCGTTTTTTCATAGTTTTATAAATATGAATAGAATATATGAAAAAAAAACATGTTAGAATCTACCAGAAAGTTATGTTTTTGTATGAATTTTAATTAGAAAAAAAGGGCGAAATTTCCTTACAGATTGTTTTCATAAAAATTTACGTCGAAACTATTTTTCTGTAAATAAATAATAGCAATTAACATTCAGTCATGATATATTCGTATAGAGAAAGGACAAGAAGAAACTGGTTTCTGGATGGTAGTTTTCATTGGCTTATGGCAACCATGACGATGTACTTATCGCTATTCTACAACTCATTAATGATAGAAAAAAATCCATCTTCGTATAAAAATAAAATGGACTTTCGATTTCTTTTCCTCAGACGTTCATCTATGAAAATATGTACATTTTTCAAAAAAAAGGACTATAACTTGTGGCGCCATCTGACATAGAATTACTTTAAAAATGCAATATAAATCTAATGCGTCTGGAACTTCATTTTCAGATTTATCACATACCAGTGGCGGATCTAGGATTTTGGAAGGACGAGGGGCGATATCAGGAGAGGAGTGGGGCGATTTTGGTTAAAAACTATTTTTTGAGCCCAACCGAAGTAGTGTGAACCTATTTTTTCGTTCATTTTTGCTGTAAAAAATCAAAAAAGAATTCGGAAGGGAGAGGGGGCGCTCGTCCCCATCGCCCCCCCCCCTAAATCCGCCACTGTCACATACTCTTAATTGTTAGTAGTGCAAATCAATTATATCTATAAGATGTAGATATAAATGTACAAGTGTATCGTGTAGAGAATTGATCTCTAGAGAATATAAGTGAAAATATTGATCAGACATAAAAATCAAGTTTTTTATCTACTAATTAATTCAGCAAGTGCTATCGGGAGAGATACAGATTTTTCTTAAAACTCAATTTACAAATATTTGTATATGATGTATAATATTCGTTTTTATATAAAAAAAAATGTCTGATCGACGATTATTTTTGAAGTAAATATCAAAATAAAGAAAAAAAAGAAATTTTATCTTTCGAACGGCTTAATAAAACACAAAAAAAGTATGGAAGCAGCTGCAATATATACACTATAGAAACGAAAAAAAGAAACACGTAAGTTTTTCACAGGTTATAATATTAATCATATACAATATGAATTCTACAAGTTGATTAAAAAAAAAGCAAGAGATTTCATTCCTTGACAACGTTTTTCCTTATCGAATTTTATCATATATATCTTCATTCATTTTGTTTAAACAGTGATATATATATATATATATATATATTAACAAGTACATTTTATCTTGATGATATTATCGCAATGCATTCATCGATTGTACCCTCTCTACTTTGGAGTTACTGGGCTAATATCATCTATATCATTGGTATGATAGGATATTTAACTATTGATACAATTAATTATACATATATATCATTTAATAATACACTTTCATATATCATATATATATTTTTGTCTATTCTATTTGTTATTGATGCTGTTCTATATACAATTGATTGGTATATATATGCTGTAAAATTACGCAAATCAAAAAATGAATCAATACAATATCGATCGGAATTTTTTGCATGTATTTTTCAAAATCTTGGTAGTTATTTTTATTTAATTGGTGCTCTATTACTTTTTGATAAAAATCGATTGTTTAAAACTATTTTATTATTTAATTTTATTGGTATTATTTCTTTTTTAATCGAATCTTGTTTAACATCAATTGGTTGGACTATTACATTTCGAAGAAAACCTTTAACAAATCCAAAAAATGGTTGCCACATTCAAGTGATACAATAAATCATATAAAAAAAAATACATATATTTTTTCTTCTTTTGTATATAGAATGTTTATATATGGGCACATATGTTGAATATTATTGGAAATTTAATTTATTTATGTGCAATAATATTAGCATATAATTTCTATCAAACTTCTAAGATTATGAATTCGAATAGTGTAGTTTTAATCCAAATATTCGGTGATTTAATCTATTTAATTGATGCTTATCTTTACCTTGAATGTTGGCAACGAGATAAAATTGAATTCGATGTTAATACAGAACAACAAAGTTTAAATAATTTTTATTTAGAAAAACTTCACTATGATACGGATACGAAAAGTAATGAGAATAAATAAAATGAAATCTTATTAACCAATCAATAAAAAATATACTAATGAAAAATATTTTGTAATAGGATATTTAGTTTTATACAATTAACTCTTCTCTTTCATTGGATTTACTTCTCTCTGTTTATCAATAAAGTATTCATTAGTTATGATAACTCTTTTGCTTTATTTATATTTTATCGTTATTAATTCCGGAACTCATCTATCACATACATTGATCTTATTAGTGTATTCAGTTGATTGATAGTATGTTTATCAATTGATATTCATTGCTCGAAGAATTTTCTTTTTTTTTTTATTAACAAAACATTTGTATATTCTTATTGTTGTTCGTGTTAAAACGACACTCAAGAAGATTAGTTGTTCGCTTACAAACGTTTATTAGAAATCAAATATGTCTCATGATGTCTGATGTCACATATAACATATATATATATATATTCATGATTAAATAAATGGAATCGTAGTGTGAGACTAATGCGATTAGATCATCATCATTATTATCAACAATATCATGTTGTTCGATAAAGAAGAAGAAGAAGAAGAAAAAGAATCAAGAGAGAGAGAGAGAGAGAAAAAATAATCGTCAAGAAGATTGATGTCAACTAATTTTGACTAAAAGGCTAAATATAGATAATTGAGATGGGTCTGTTTTTCTCATTGAATAAATAAACTTACGACAACCAATGCTAACAGTTTATACTAACATGTATATAGACTATAAACGTACTAATGAACTAACATCACTGCCAGGCTATAATATATCAGAGAGGAAAATAAAAAAGAAGCTTTATCGCATCAAAAGAAAAGTAGCCGCCATATCATCTAAGAGAAAGTGAGACATATTAATTTATAAGAAGAAGGAGAAAACATTGTTTTATATGTCGACTAAACTATTCTGGTAAATATCCGGTAGAGTGACACCGTTATCATCATAGTGTATACAAACGATCAATCGCGATCATATTTAGTAAAGAGAAGAAAAGAAAATTAGCATACATGATAAAAAGCTGTAAATAATATTAAAGAATTTGTTTTGAATAAGATCTAGAAATTTTTTTTCTCTTTATAAAAGTGAATATGAGTATGCGTATACAAAGAGATAGAGAAAAAAAGAGACATTAAAACAAAAACAACAAGAAAATACGACGAACAATAATATGTATATTTATAAATGTGTCAATAAGATAAAATGTTAAATTTAACGATCTTCTGTTTTATTGGCTGCTGCTGCTGTTAGTGCTGCGGCTGTTTCTTGTTGATGACGTTTAAGAAGTTTTTCATAAGCTGCTGCAAATGCTCCTGGATTTGTCTGAGCAAAATGATGAAGAAAATTGACAGGTGGCGGTGGTGGATAAAGTCCAGCATATTGATGTGGGGGAGGTAATGGTGGTGGTGGTTGTAATAATGATAAATGATTTTCACGTTGTATTGAATTATTCATTTGAGGAGGAAAAAACATGGACGAACGAAAATCAAATGATGGTCCTTTTTGATGATGATGAGGTGTTGTTATTGGTGTAAAAGCCGATTTTGTTGTTGATGCTGGTGTTATTGATGATGATGATGTTGTTATCTCACTTTGTAATTGATTCTGTATTGATACAATATTATCACCTAATGTTATAAAATGATCAATTGTTTTAGCTAAATCTCCTTGACATGTTGATAATGCTGCCATTAATACGGAACGTTTTTGCATTGGAAAAACTCGTTCAAGTATATCAACATGTGACATATTTTGTCGACGTATTTTACTACGTGGTGATATTGTATTTGTTTGTTGTTCATCTGCAATTGAACCTGATGAATCTTCATTTGAATGTATACCTGAAGTATTTGATGTTGTTGTTGTGCCTTCATCAGCACTTCGTTTTGTTGAACTTGTTGGACTACTACCTGTTTTAGGTGAAGATTCTGATACATTAGATTCATGGTCATTTCGTGGAGAATTTGATGATGATGCTGGATCACCTGAATAAATAAATTAAAAAATCTTTTCTTATTTTTTTCTTCTTCTTTCTTTTAATTTTACTATAGTATTATAGTCTTTTAAACACGTACGTTTTTCCCTCTACTTCTTATTGACATATTCTCATATAAGAAACTGCATGCACACACACACACACACAAACTATAGAGAGTTTGTCGGCACTTAGTCTATTAGTTATGAATGAAAATTCTACAGACTATCGAATTTACCTTCGTCACCCTCATCATCATCTTCATGACTACCATTTGATGATGTTACTGCACCCCAAACTGGTCCAGGCTAAGTAATGAAAAAAATATTGATAAAAATAAAAATAACTCTCGTTTTAACAACTTACTGGTAATTGATTAAATGGTGATAAACAACGAACACGTAATGCAATAGCATCTTCACTTGCTTGTTGTCGTTTTAATGCAACTTGTGCAGCCATAACACGTTGTCGTTCAGCAATAAGAATACATTTAGCACATGCACAATCACGAAATTTACAATGACGTTTATGTCCTTTTAACCATGATATCATTCCATGATTTCTACAACGTGCACATTTAGGACGACGTATACCACGTTGTTCACCTAATTGATAAGTGACTGATGGTAAAGTACTTGTATTAGACGATGATGTTGACATCATACCAACGATATTCATATGTGCATTCAACGCAAGGTTAGATACAGAGAAGAAGAAGAAGAAGAAAAAATGAAGGAAAATAATATATGATTAGTTCGTCAGTTGCCCTTTTCTCCAACGGGAAGCCGGTCCGATATGATGGTATCGTTTTAGTTTGTTATGTTCTTTTTTTTCTTCTTTTCGTCGTATTACTTTTCTCGATACTCTTTCTTTTCTTATTGGCTCCTGTTTGCCATTGGTTCTCATTGATGGCTACAGCCAATTGTATAAGCGAAAGAATATATCGCACTCGATTAGTATCTCTCTCTCTCTCGCTCGCTCGCTCGCTTTTCTTTTTCTTGCATTTAACTTGTCTACAATCATAGTAGGACAAGAGAGAGAAAAAAGCAGATACGTGCCATTTAATGTATTAAGATGGATTGCAATTTTCTATGTTCTCTTCCCTTTCGGGTGTGGATATTAATATTGATGTATGTGTGGGGGCTGCAGGAGGCCGTATTGAAACAAAGAAATAAACGAGCGCAAAAAGAAAAAGGCGACAAAGATAATGTTACGAAAAGCGCCTGCACACGTTCTCATAAAACAAAACAAAAAAAAAAAGTAGTTTTATAAATGGATGTTCATGAATATGAAAATGACAATCGATGTATATAAATATATATATATCTATATTCATGTTTTTTTTTTGCTTCTCTGTTTATTGATTTAATTTTTTCATTAGAGCATTAAAAGATTTTTCTGTCATGTGTTTATCGTTTTAAACTGAAAATAAAGGACAGATGTGTGTGCGTCGAATTAAATGATTTGTAAACATATGAATATATATTTATGAAATCTAAACTTTGTTTAATAACAAATCAAAAAAACAAAATAGTTCATGCTTTCACATATGTATAGTCATCATCAATTAGTATGATTTGTTGTCTTGACCTCCTACTTTTCTTTCTAATCGGACAACTGATCTTCTGAATATGGAGCGGCACGGCAGGGACACATGTTGTGTTTGTTGTTCAGTAAGTAAATATCGCACATATACATTCAATGATTAGGTCAAACTGAACAAGATCGTCTCGTTTACTTTTTATAAGATCTATTTATGTTTATTCAAATATTGTACTAAAAGCAATAGAATGAAAAAAAAAGATAAGAACTGGTGATGTCGATGTTTTATAACAAAATAATAGTACGTTGTTCTATTGATAAGTGACGAGTCACTCAACGAATAACAACGACAACAATAATGGTGCTTGCATTGTATTCCCATACACTTATATTATCAGTCAATTTGTTGTATTCAAAGATTAGAATAGACAGACAATGTGTTGCTTATATTTTTCAATCGATGAGTATTGAGCTAAGATAACTAAACTTATACATATATCTCTATATATTAAATCAATAGAGAGAGAGAAAAAATAAGATTTCATCGTTTTTTTGACATAGCTAACTTTTAATACATGTCTGATGTAATCATTCTCAATGATTTATCAAAAGCTTTTAATCATACAAGATTAAATAAATAAGTTAAACTTCTTCTTTTTTTTTACTACCATGATATATTTAACACAATCAATCTTCTAGTTGATATATAAAAAGAAAACATTTCCGACATGAAGAAAAATAATGAAAATCATGTCCAATGAAAATCATAATAGCATTTATTTTCTTCTATAGACAAAAAATAATAGAGAAGATTTAATTATATCTATTGGTTATCGTCTAAAGAACAAAAATACTCTCTTTCTTCTCCACTCATATTTTATACATGATGAAAATTTGCGGTGGATAATGTTTGAAATCGATTCTCTGTCTTCCTGTCATCCGCTTTCTCAGAAAGACAAAAAATAAGTCAAACATTATAGGCTTACCTAACTTTTGATTGTTATTTCAATATAAATATATATGTCATACCGCCGCTGATCAACAAAACACAATTGTTAATTCGTCAAAGATGACATGTACATACAACAATAGGAAAAGAATATTCTTTGAAATACGATAGGATATGTCTCAGACTTCCAAGTTAAGCTTGCCGATAATGTATATATAGACTATTAATATATTAGATTTATATATTCATACAAATCAGATCAAATAAAAAGAAAAAAAACTCGATATAGTATTAAATAGAATATATTTTTATTATAGAATTTAACTTCGAACTGAAATATTATCATCCATATCTCCTTGTAAATCATTTAATAAATCATCTTGATCTATACCATTTTCAATACTTGAATCAGGACTTTGACTTATTGGATCATTTAGAAAATCATTGGATGGTGCTGATTTTGCATCACGATTCATAGTTGTTGATCGACTAAGAGTTTGATTTGTATTTTCTGTATGTGCACTAGGTGGAAGAGTTTTTGATATTTGTCGTCGAAGTTGATTTTGTATATTCGATGTTTTAGCATCAAATAATTCTTTTATACGTAATTTTGCTGATGAACGTAATGCAAATTCTGTCGACATTATAGCTGGAGGTGCTGATCCACCATATCTTAATCGAAGATTTGGATTCATTCCTTGATTGGTTGGTGAATCCATTGATGGATGTGATGAATTTCGACAACCAGTTGCATTTGTTGATGGTAAAAATGAATCTATTTTCATTATTGAAGTATAGATCAATATGAAATAGTTGATTTAAATCATACCTGATCTTTGTATATCAAAATCATCAAAACGTTTGATTTCATCGGATGTATTGGGTCGTGGTGCATCAAAACGATCATCTTCTAAACCTAAATAACTTATAACAAGATCACGTAATTGTTCATAACCATCTTCAAGACTATCTGTCAAACCGAAAAAGAAGAAATTAAATAGAATTTCAAGAATATGTATTACTTGTTGAAATAAATGCATCGAAAAATCCTGGATGTGTACGATTATATTCTGCATAAAGTTCAACACGACTTAATGCCATCTTTATTTCACCTTCATCAAAACCTTGTAATTGTAAGCGACGTTCATGAATTTGAGGATCCATTGGTAAAAGAAGAACACAACGTGGTTCAAAATGTGATTGTTTTATTGATAAAAGACCCTGTTATATTAAAATAAGATATAATAAAAAATAAGATTTTTTTTGAAATACTTCAAGTTCAATTTGTACGACACATGCTAAACCTTCTCGTGCAACATTTTCAATTGATGAACGTTGAAGACCATGCCAATCACCATAATATTCATAACAACAAAGAAATTCGCCCTAAATTTACAAAAATAAAATAATCTTTTTTTGTAAATAATATTAACAAACTTTAGTAACATCTTCTTCATATTGATTTTGTTTAATAAATATATAATCAATACCATCTTTTTCATTAGCACGTCTTTCACGTGCAGTATGTAGAACTCTATAAGAAAATTAAATAAAATTTTTCTAGTTTATTTATTTACCCATAACCAAAAAATTCATTGAATTCTTCTGCAAGTCGATGAGCTAATTCAATTCGTCCACAACCATCGGGTCCTGATAGAATTAACATTGGATATGGTGTTTCAATATTAGGCAAGGTACTATGAAACACAATCAGATTCTATATCATATTCTTTTTTCTTTTGAATTCTTTACCTTTCTTGTACTCGATGATCTTGTAAAAATGCAAAGACAACATTAGTTATATGATCTCTTGATGCGAAATATTCTGATGATGGATTAAACATTTGTTTCGATTCAACTTTTTCTGCTGCATCAATTTTTCGTCGATCAAGTATAGTTAAATGTTGTAATTTAAATATAACTGAAAGTCGATAATCATCTATTTCAGTTATTTTATTTCCACGTAAATTTAAATCTCGTAAAAGACGATATTCACTAAGACGATCAATATCAGATAAATTATGAAGCTACAACAGAAAAAAGAACAAAGTCAATGTATTTTTGTTGTAAAATTTTTTTACTTGATTATCAGCAAGATCAAGTACTTCAAGAAAACTTAATCGTTCCGGGATACCAGCTAAAGAATCTAATTGATTACATGATAAATTAAGGTGTTGTAAATATTGAAGTGAATCAAGATTTTCAATCTTTCGAATTTCATTTGATCTCTTTAATTAAATGTGAAATAGAATGAAATTTTTATGGATTTCTTTAACATACTAAACTTAAATATTTCAATGGTAATCCATCTAATTCTTCTATTCGTTGAATACGATTATGAGCAAGACTTAAATGTTGTAAACGATAACAATTTTTTAAACCTTCAATTTTGGATATTTTATTATCTATAGAAAAAAAATGAATAATTATATCGATTAATTTTTAGTTGAAAGAAAAAATGAACATACTATCAAGAACAAGTTTTTGTAAATAATGAAAACTATCAAGATTTTTTATTTCTTCAATAAGATTAAATGAAAAATCAGCTTCTTTTAAATTACGTGGTGGCCAAAAATCAAATAATTTTTGAATTTTATTATTTGATACATCAAGTTCAAGTAAATAACTTAGATTGTTCAAATGTGATAAATCAGATATATTATTATATGGTAATTCAATTCTTTGTAAATGAGTATAATTATTTAATATTGATATATCACGTAAACCATAACCCTATAAAAAGATTTCAGTAGAATAAATAGATTTTGTTTTTGAAACTTACAGGTAATGTTAGAGTTAAATATGAAATACTTGATCCACCAGCAGTTTTACCGATTTTTGAGACATGTTTAGCAACTGTTTCAGCATCAAGTATTCCAACACCAACACTATTTCCTATAGATGATATATCAAAATAGGAATCGTCTCCACGTGTAGTTGATGGAATATCAGTTCCACCTCTATAATCATCAGATGTTTCATTATTTGAATATTGTTGACGACGAGTTAATGATGATATTGGAAAACTATCTGTTGATCGTCGACTTAGATTACCATCTTCATCAAGTATAAGAATATTTGTATCATCAGGTAATAAACGATTTGGATCATATGGAAGTTGTTTTGTATTAGCAGCAGAACGTGTGTTACTCATTAGTTTAGTTGAACTTTATTTTAGATGATTTACTTTTTTTTATATATAAGTAAAAACAAATTTATTTGACATTCATTTTAACGGTATGTTCTCTAGTGAAGACCTCTAGTTTAATTTTACCTATTTATATAATACTTCCAACGATAGATGTCAATAGTTTTTTGTAAAATTGCCCAACTAAATATATGAAAAAAAGAAATACGAAAGTGACAAAAATCTATGGAAAAGATTTTTGTTTGTTTCATATTTCTCCTTGAAAACAATATTTTCAACTGGAATTACACCTACCCCACATCCTCATTTTGATGACAATATAAGAAAAGTGCTGTAGTATATGGGAGTAAATTTCTTTTATTTTATTTAGATTAATCTTTTCATCAGAATAATTTTCTCAAATTTTATTAGAATCTAAAGTTAGAAACAATCAATTATTCGTAAACAAAAAGAAATTTTTCATTCAAAATCAAATAAGTTTATCTTTTATTTTAATGAATTATATGATTTTATAATCGAGTTATTGTCAAAATAAAATAAGTTTCATTTTATATAGTAAGTAATTCATATTCTTGAATTCGATGGTTATAAGAATCAACAACATAAAGATTCCCTTCAACGTCAAATGACACACCACCGGGATTATATAATTGATTTGGCTCTCCTCCTTGACCATTTCCACCAACAACAATTGAACCTTTTGTATCTCCCTCGAACCATTGCATTACTCGATGATTTTCATAGTCTGCAATAATTATTTGACCCAAATTATCAACAACCAGTCCACTAAGATAATCTAATTGGCCGAGAGCATTTCCTGGTCCATTTTCACCAGCAACAATAATTCCTTCTTTTGCATCTTTTCTCCATTTCATTACACGATGATTCATAGCATCCGCTACATAAACAGAATAATCTTCATCGACGAAGAGGCTGAGAGGATTATAAAACTGATTTGGACGATTTCCTTTGCCATTACCACCGGCAACTAGTGTTCCATCGGTGTCTCCTTCTTTCCATCGTCTCACTTCAGACTTTATCCAATCAGAAACATAAAGAGATCCATCTTTGTCTATTGCCACACCGCTACAGTAAATATTAGCAATGAGAATTTGTGGATTTGTTTGACTTTCACGAAACCATCGCATCACTCTATTGTTTCGATAATCACATATGATTATTGCATTCTTCGCTTTGTCAACAACTAAGTCGATTGGCATATCGAGTTGATCTAGTCTATTTCCTTGTCCGTTGCCGCCTGCAATAATTTGACCATTGCTCGAATTATATTTCCATTCAACAATACGATGATTTCTATAGTCAGCAATCAAAATGGCTTTGTTATCATCGATATAAGTCCCACTAGGATGGGAGAGTTGATTTAATTGATCTCCGTCCCCATTTCATCCAGCAACAGTAATTCCATGCTGTTTCCATTTCGAGTTGTTCTTATCTACAACAAATCAAATTTGTAGTTGCATCTATCACTTCTCAACTCACTCACTCGTCAATGGTGGACAGATATTTTGTTTAGACATTGCCATTGGATAACAAAGAGGTTGTTCATGACATCGAGGATGTTGAACACAGATCATATTGGATTGAGTACATATATTGGTAGAAGCGTTACACGGTACGAGATGAGAACATGTTGGCCAGAGAAAGCCACAAATGCCTGCATCATCATTAGTACCTACTTTGTGGAAACAACCACAGGCACTATTTGTCGAGCATCGATCATATTGAGCAACATTCTTACATATTTGAGATTTTACTTGTCCTATGAAAATCATACACTAATATATGCAAACATATAGAATAAAATAGAATAAATATCAAACCTGTAATGCTGAAATATGAAATGAATGAATATTAACAAAAGTTCACGATAAAAATGAATGATTATTTACCTGAGAAGAATGAAAACGACGAAGCAATAGATATTGATTGTAGCCAGTTGATTTTAGAATAAGAGAATATGATGACAAACTGTGTGTTTTTATTTCTAAGACACAGATGCATCTGTTCACATATCGATAAGTGAAAATGTGATATTGATTATATTGCTTCTAATCGTTTTAATCTCTTTTATGAAAAAAACAATAAAAAAAGTAATCAGAAAACAGATAAATCATCCTCATCAACTATAATATTTTTCTATCTTTACTCGTATAGAAACTATCTTTGTTATCAACAGTTATTTACAAGATTGAAAAGAGTTATTGTTTTTAAATATTATTTTAGATATAATTATTTGACTTGTATTGAATAAGAAAACGAAAATGTTTTAAATAAGATTTATTCAATATAACATTAACAGAGGTGGGGCGGGGTAGCAAAAGTTTTTGGAGTAAAAAGATAAATTTGGGTGTAGGTATTATTAATTCCTCATCCACAACCATAATGATCTGTCTTTTATCAACTATGGCTCTTTTTCAGTAACCACTATACAATATGATTTCGAAATATTACTGCAAGTCATATATTATTTGGTGAATGATAATTTATTAAGAAATGTGAATGATTAAATAGTTTGATTATATATAAAAAAATATTATGGTTCAGTTCACAAAAAAAAATGTCATTTTGTCTATATTGTTTAATAAAGCTCAACACTATTGATAGAAACACCGTTGCTATATCCACCAGTAACTAATACTTTTCCATTTGTTAATGTGGATACTACGTGCTGAAATCGTGCGATACTCATGTTTGCTGTAGTTGTCCAAGTGCCTGTTGCAGGATTGTACAATTCAGCACTATTGAGATAAGCACCGTTGTATCCACCAGTAACTAATACTTTTCCATCTGCTAACATTGATGCTGTGTGATATTCTCGTATGACATTCATGCTTCCTGTAGTTGTCCAAGTGCCTGTCGATGGATTATATAATTCAGCACTATTGAGAAAACTACCGCTCTTTCCACCTGTAACTAATACGGACCCATTTGCTAATGTAGTTGTTGTATGATATATTCGTGCAACATTCATGCTTCCGGTAGTTGTCCAAATGCCCGTTAATGGATTGTATAATTCAGTACTATTGATGGGAACATTACCGTTACTCTGTCCACCAACAACTAATATTGATCCATTTGCTAATGTGGTTCCTGTGTAATATATTCGTGTAATATTCATGCTTCCGGTAGTTGTCCAAGTGCTTGTTGCAGGATTGTACAATTCAGCACTATTAAGATAACCACCGCTGTTGTATCCACCAGTAACTAATACTTTTCCATTTGTTAATGTGAATGCTATGTGATATTCTCGTTGGACACTCATGCTTCCTGTGGTTGTCCAGATGCCTGTTGATGGATTATACAATTCGGCACTATTGAGATAAGCACCATTGCTCACTCCACCAGCAACTAATACTGATCCATTTGCTAACATGGATGCTGTGTGATATTCTCGCGGGACACTCATGCTTCCGGTAATTGTCCAAGTACCTGTTGATGGATTGTACAATTCAGCGCCATTGAGATCACTACTACCGTTGTATCCACCAGCAACTAATACGGACCCATTTAGTAATGTGATTGCTGTGTGATACATTCGTACAACATTCATATTTCCTGTGATTGTCCATTCTAAATAACGCAGAAAAGTGAAAAAAAAATGTTGTTCCTAAAATGACTTCGAATTTCTCATATGCATAAGTTGTCTATCTACTGATCACAAATTAAATAGTTTCCAATCCTCAATAAACTTCGCTTTGTTTTCGTAATTAAAATAAGATTCATTATGAGATGTTAAACTAAATTAACGAAAAATATGTTATAAACGATTTCACTGATATTTTTCGAGTTCTACCGATGTCGCAAATTGACGAAACTCGAACACTGTCCTACAATTCAGTTATGATGAATAATGATTAAATTTTAGAGTTTGAGTGAAAGTCATTTTACATTGTTCAACATAATGGAAATAAGATATATTATCACCATCTTAGATGGATGGTGTATGTATATGCCTCGGTGTAGGCAAGAATAAAAGTCAATGAGGATGTCGAGTGTGGGTGGGTGTAAGTGATTACTAAAATGACTAATGAGTTCTGTCACGTAAAAATCTTTCTGTCAACAATGTTTTCATCTAATATTGTTGGAGAGGACAAGAATATTTAACATTTAAATGAGTGTAGATCAGATCAATTCATCAAAAATTAGGTCTATTTTGACTTCTGATGGGAAATGTTGCTTAATTTTGCCTATCTAGATGGCGATTATTCAATACCTAAAATCAAAACGTTTACATATCGTTACTTCTATTAATCATCCTTTGAGTAACTACAAATCATTTAGCATAGTACTCACTTGGCATTGCTGTTGTTGTTGTTGATGATGATGTCGTTGAAGTTGTGGTTGATGTTGTTGTGGATGTTGATGATTCAGTGGATGTTGTGATTGTTGATGTTGAAGTAGTTGTGGATGTTGAAGTTGTTGTTGACGTTGATGTTGTGGTTGATGTTGTTGTGGATGTTGATGAGTCAGTGGATGTTGTGGTTGTTGATGTTGAAGTTGTTGTGGATGTTGACGATGTTGTGGATGT